GATCTCTTAAATCATCAGTTTATAAGGTGCTGGCAAGTTAGCAAGCCTCTGTTGCAACTTGTGACCACAATAGTAGCTTAATTTGTCTTTCCTTTTTTTTTTAACCTAGACTGGCTCTTCTATGATTTTTCTACATTGAAACATTAATTGATCCAGTAGCATTAGCATACCTGAATAACTTCAGACTGATTTCACATTCATTCGTTTGTTCCAGCTTTTATTAATGACTTACCCAAGGCTGAAGCTGAGATCACAATGATGAGTCTGAGATGTCAGGAAGCTCACCAATTACTTCTAACTGTGGTTTTCTTTTTATTATTATTATCATTCCTTGGTGACTCCTTCTAAAGACAGATATAATAGGGCCATTTTTTCAGTCTTGAAATGTGCCCCAGAAAATACCAGCTTCTTATTAATCTTGCATCTGCATCTGATGCTAAATGTAAATTGATTTCTTCTTGCTGTTTTAACCACTTCCCCTCAGTGCAATATTCATACACATTGATGAAGGGAATCTGTGCAGCCAAATCTTCAGCTCAAGATGGCAGCCCCTCAGGAAAGGCCAACAAGTGAACATTTTTATTGAAAAACGTATAGAACTGGAGACATAACTCAAGTGGTAGAGCACCAGCAATGAGGCAAAAGGCTGATCAAAGCTGGCTTGGTTGTTTATACTATACTCGTAGCTACCAGGAAGCTGAGATTGGAGGATCTAGCCTGAGGAAAAAGTCTGTGAGAGTTTTATCTTTAATTACTTACCCATCCCCTACACACACACACACACACACACACACACACACACACACACACACACACACACATACACACACACACACACACACACACACACACACACACAGAGAGCTGGAAGTGGAGCTTTGGCTTCAGTGACAGAGTACTACCATTGAGAAGAAAATCTCAGGGATCGTGACCAAGTCCTAAGTTCGAACCTCAGGACTTGCAAGAAAAAAAAGGAAAGGAAAGGGAGGGGAGGGGAAGGGAGGGAAGGGGAGGGAAAGGAAGGGAAAGGAACGGAGAGGAGAGGAGAGGAGAGGAGAGAAAGGAAAAGAAAAGAGAAGAAAAGAAAAGAAAAGAGAAGAAAAGAAAAGAATGCTGAGCAAAAGTTGAGACCAAGTATCGCCACTGACACATATGCACTAAATGACATGGCCAGGGTTTTATTTGGCTAAAAGAAAATCCAAAAGAGAAAATGTAAGGGTTTGTTAAAACCAAATGTATAGATGGGATAACTGTGACATATCTTGATTTCATTTTATTTTAAAAAAAACAGAAAAAAAAGAATTTAGGTAGGCAACTTAAAATATACTTGACTCAAAATCAGGAGTATGGTTTTCTTCTCCACAGTTGTAGAAAATTCTTGTAACAGAGCCTCAGAGGAGAGATATAAATTACACACAAGGTTAAGGAAGATTTTTTTAATTGTAGAGACAATTTAATCAATTTTCAAAGGAAGTTCACAAAACAAGGCAAAGATAAAATAATGTTTTAACAAAAGGAAGTGCCTGATCAAAAAATCTAGACTCCTTTCTTTCCTTAGGTTATAGTTATTTAAAATATGTTTTCTGGTTGGGCAACTAGAGGCTCACACATGTAATCGTAGCTACTCAAGAGGCTGAGATCTGAAGATCACAGTTCAAAGCCAGCCTGAGCAGGAAAGTCCATGATACTCTCATCTTCAAATAACCACACAAGTACACACACACACACACACACACACACACACATCTATACTTTCTTAACACAAATATGCAATGATTTTACATGACTTCTTTAATAAAGTTTTGAAAAGCTTTGGTTTTGATTTGTTTTAGAGTTCAAAGGTAAATAGAGTGGGATAATTCCAAAGGGAAATGGTGAAGGATTTCTTTGAAATGACCAAGAAGGGCTGCTTTCAAGTTGTGTCCAAGAACTTGTAATTGGTCAATGGGCTTAGTAGAATGTGACATTGGTTGGCAAGTAGCACATAATTTAGGACCTAGCACTGGTGTGTTTACTGAAAATACTTCCCACATCAACAGCATAATGGCTAAACTGCCACAATCTTTTATATGCAACTCCTTGATCTTATTTATGATTCCTCTTATTACGTACACTTATCTCCTCTTGCTATCTCATTAGTCCTCTTCTTATTTTTTAATGGTTCATTCACTTCAACATCTTTTATGCTTGCTTGGTTTAAAGGCTCCACATGTGAGAGAACATATGCAATACTGTTTCAGAATCTGGCTAATTTCACTTAACGTGATCCCCAGTTCCATCTCTTTTCCTATGAATGACGTGATTTCCTCTTTATCCTCCTCTTCCTCCTCCTAGTCTACCACCTGCTCTTCTCCCTCTTCCTTAATCTAGGTGTTTAGTTGGTATTTTCTTTCCTTTTCTTTTAAAGTACTTAAACTTCAAAGGTTGTACAATGGGGTTACAATTTAACATGACGTCTAATGAGTCTCCCTTTCCATCAGTGTCCCCTAACTGTTTCCTCATGGTTCTTCTTACTCTCTTTTTCCTATTTCTTACTCTCTGGTAGAGTTTTCAAATTTATGGTATAGTTTAAATATATTACTGAGAAATACCAGATCTAAACTTCAGAATGCCCTATGGAACTTCATGGAGAAGTGTTAATTTAAAACTGAACCCCAGAGGAATGGAATCCTTCTGGAATCACATCGGTTCCAGAGCTTTGCTGTTGATCTGGGGACTGTGGAGTTAGGGGAATCACATTTCAGAATGTAGGGTATATTGTCAGGTCTAGAATTACCAAAGAAAGTAGCTATGCTAACTGATATACACCTTTAGGAATAACACACTGACATCCATTCCACACAGTGGAATCCTATAAAATATCACACACACACACACACACACACACACACACACACACACACACACACACACACACACACAATGTTGATACTGGGTCTTTAACTTAGGCCTGGGTGCTGTCTTCCATCTGTTAGCTTTTCTATTCAAGACTGGCACTCTACCATTAGAGCCATGCTCTACTTCTGGTTCTAGGGTCATTAATTGGAGATTCTCATGGACTTTCCTGCCTGGGTTGACTTTGAACTGAGATCCTCAGGTCTCAGCTACCTGAGCAGCTAGGATTACAGGCATCTGGCACCTATTTTTTTTATTGTGAAAATACCATACAGAGGGGGTTACAATTACATGGGCAAGGTAATGGGTATATTTCTTATCAAGCATTGTTGCCTCCTCCTTTGTTTCCCCTTAAAATCCCTTCTCATCTACCCCCACAACCCTTTCCCACCCCGCACCAAAGTTGTAAAGTTCCTTTTTTGATATAATGTCTTGTACATCTCATTGTTGCAATGGGTCCACCTGTATCCCTATTTAAACAATTTGTTTTTTCCCTTCCCCTCCACACATTATACCAACATCAAGTACAGGGTAAAAACAGGTTATACTGTAGGGGAGGGACATACTAAGCAACAAAGAAATATTTTATAAATATGTTAGAAACAATAGAAAGAAAGAAAAAAACATTTGAGTCCTTATCTTGGGGTTTATTTTGCCTAACATCAACTTATCTGACCATTTCTGCTTGTCTCAGACATATACTAGGTATTGTAAATAAGGGAAACCGTGGGACCTATGTTTCTTTGGGCCTGGCTTCCTTCACTTAATATAATTTTTTTCAAGTTTTTCCATTTCCTAACAAATGGGGCTATGCCATTCTTTCTGACGGAGGCATAGAATTCCATTGTGTATATATACTACATTTTCTTGATCCATTCATCTACTGAAGGGCATCTGGGTTGGTTCCATATCTTAAATAATGCTGCAATAAACATAGTTGTGCTGGTAGCTTTAGTATGGTCTTGTTTGTGATCATTTGGGTAAATGCCCAAAAGTGGGCATTTCAAAGTGGTTGAACAAGTTTATATTCCCACCAACAATGCAGTAGGGTTCCCTTCTGTCCACATCCCCTCCAGCATCTGTTGTTATTAGATTTCTTGATTATAGGCATTCTAACTGGGGTGAGGTGGTATCTCAATGTTGTTTTGATGTGCATTTCTTTTATGGCTAGGGAGGTTGAGCATTTCTTCATGTGTCCATTGGCCATCCTTCTTTCTTCTTCAAGAAGTTTCTCTTTTAAGTCTTTAGCCCACTTATTTATTGGACAGTTGTTTCTTTGAGGGTTTGTTGTTGGGGGATTTAATTTTTTGAGTTCCAGGTATATTTTAGATATGAGACCCTTGTCTGTTGTATGGCTAGTGAAGATCTTCTCCCAATCTGTGGGCTTTCTATTGATCTTGCTAGCTATGTCCTTTGCCATGCAGAAGCTCTGCAATTTCATGCAATCCCATTTGTCCAACCTTTCTTTGATTTGTTGTGTTTCTGGGTCTCTATTAAGAAAATTTCAGCCTGTACCAAAGAGACCTAGGGTTTCTCCTATTCCATCCTGTAATGTTTTCAGAGTGTCTGCTTTGACTCTGAGGTCTTTGATCCATTTGGAGTTGATTCTGGCGCAGGCTGATATATAAGGATCTAGATTTAGTTTTCTACAAGTGATTAACAAATATTCTGGCACTTATTTTTGATACAGTAGTTTAATTCTATTATCAATCTAAAGCAATACTGTGCTTATACTTACTGGAGTTGATGCTTTTCTAATTCAGGGTAACCCAGAGGAACCATGTCTCTCAGAATCTTAATTGACATAAATAGTGTTTTAGAGAAAGATTACCTGGCTCTAATTCCAGCTCCATCACTTTACTACATATAAGACTTTGGTAACTTACTGTGCCTGTATTTGCCTCAGCTTCTTTATTTGTAAAATGGGGATGATAAAAGTATTCATAGTGTTGTGGTAAGGATTGAGTCGAGACTTTCAAAACACAAAAGTGCTTGATGAGTACTCATGGATGTTAGACTGTAAGATTGATCAAACTTTGCAATAAGGAGACAGAAGAAAAGTATGCAGTGTCATAAATCCATATATCTGGAAATTTGATAGTCACCTATAACACAGAAGGGCTTTCGAGCAAACCTCAATCTTCCTTGCCATCCTCTGTACCGACAACAGCAACCTGCAGACCAGATTCGAATGATGAACTCCAAACCAAAGACGACAATCATCACGAACTCCTACAACATCAGATAGGATATGTCAGAGAGAAGTATTATAGAGCAAATCTTAGTAAGAAAGTCTGTGAATAGGGGCATTCACACACTTTGCTTAAGACAATCTAGTGGTTAATGTCTACAGGTAAGAACAACTCTTTTTATTTTTGGTGCTGATACTAAGGCTCGAACTCAGGGCCCAGGCCCTATCCATTGGCGTTTTTCACTCAAGGCTGGCACTCTACCACTTGAACCTCAATTTTCAGATCTAAGCTTGCTGAGTAGCTAGGATTACAGGCATGAGCCAGAAGCACCTGGCAGGTTAAAAATATTTCTTGATCAAGTCAAACTGAAACTGATGAATATCAAAACCTCATCATAACTACATTTCCTGTCATGGAATGAGATTTCTCTTCAAGTTACTGACTCATTCCAAACCTGTTGCTTTCAGTACCAAGTACATGGCCTAATTAATAGTCTCTCATGAGCAATATATAGTGTGTATAGTTGAGTTTAGCTATTCAATAACAAGAAAGATCTGAGATGAAATGGGTAGACCCTTAAATATAATTGCAAATTCTATGGAAGTCAGAGCTTCATATTGTATGTAATGACAGAACTGTTTTCAGGGCCGGCCACCAGTGGTTCATGCCTGTAATACTAGCTACTCAGGGAGCTGAGATCTGAGGATCAAGGTTTGAAGCCAGCTGAAGCAGTTAAGTCTATAAACCTTTATCACCAATTAACCACCAAAAAGCAGGAAGAAGAGCTGTAGTAGAGTTGTTCTCAGAGAAAAAGAAGTAAATATTTAGAATTATACTGTTTTGTCATTACAGTGTCAAAAATCTCCTTATAAAACAACAGGTTTCAGATGCATTTACCATGATGTGGCACATTTCTCTGTTGCCAGAAGTGAGACCTGCAACTTTGGATTTGAAGCCTGTTAATTATACTGCTGCCCTTTGGCCACAGCTTCCTGAGCAACAACACCTGCGCCAGCAAAATGACTTAGAGATGATTTAGGAAGAGTTGTGAGTGAACCTTGGGGAAAGGCCAGCTAAAAGTGGCTCATTAAATAGTCAGTCATTGAATGGAAACCAAACAGAATTTGGAAAAGGAAAGTCTCTCTGGAGTGAGCTTAGCATAGTCATTTGTCCCTATAGGGACAGGTCTAGAGTTTATTAAAATTGGTTTTGTTTTAAAAATAACTTGTTTTTCAAAGTGGGATCAACTCAGTGTGTGTCATATAGAGTGCAGTTTATGAACTGGATTTTAATTGTAATGGCTTAATTGGAAAAGTGATACTTGAGCTTTATTAAAGCTTCCACACAACACAGAAATGAAGTCAAATATTTTTATGTATGAAGAACATAGTATATGGAATATACCAAGTAAAATACAGAAAGTATAAAGAATATAGAAATAGAGACAGTAAAAATTTCCATCCATTCCTCACTCTCTTACTCCACTCTTGCAAGAAAAAGGTAACCAAACTTGTAAAAATGGCATTTGGTTTCAAGATTCAGGGACATATCTGATTCTTTAGTAACATGTGTGATGGTATGCCTCACTTTGAAGTACTTAGTAAAAACATCACCTCTAATCTCTACTATGGCATCTGTGAATATTTCTCATGATGGGGAACAAATTCTCTGCCTACTCACTGTAACTTAAATCTGCCTACAAGACTCATCCATGCAGGCATAACTAAATGGTCATTGTGCCCACCTCAGAGATTCAGTTTCAGCTTTGTTTTGAATGCATACCTAAGTAGTTGAGTCTATTCATTTATTGAATATTATTGGAGTGCCAAGATATGAGATCCTCTGTTCGTGCATGTGTACATGTGTGTGTGTGTGTGTGTGTGTGTGTGTGTGTGTGTGTGTATGTGTGTGCATGTTCTGGTATTAGGGCTTGAACTCAGGTCCTTGGCACTCTCTTAGCTTTCTTGTTCAAGGATAGTGCTCTATCATTTGTGCCAGAGCTCAACCTCAATCCTCAGATCATGGCTTTATAAGTAGCTAAGATTACAGGTGCAAGCCGTGAACCACCACTGCCCAGCAAGCTCACCATTTTTCATTCCAGCACATTTTTCCAAATGTCTATGTATGTCTGTATCTGGCACCAACCTGGCTTAGTGGCAGGTCTTTTTTTTTTAATATCTCCTACTTATATCATCATATTTGACACTTTAGTTGAGAGGGGTATGCTGTGAATGATACCCATGAAAACATGTAGATTCTACCCACAGGCATTGCTGTTTCTTTCTTATGAAAATTGACAAGGATATATATATATATATATATATATATATATAGAGAGAGAGAGAGAGAGAGAGAGAGAGAGAGAGAGAGACAGAGAGACAGAGAGACAGAGAGAGAGAAAGGCATATACATAACATATATATGTATATATGTATAGCCATGGTGTAGGAGAAAAGTATATTAAGGCCATTAAAATATTTCTTTGTTACAGTGAGGTAGGCTAAAGTAGGTCTGCCAGTTGTTTACTGCTTAATGTTCAGAAATATGCTGAGTGCTTTTTGTTTTTGAAAGAGATTAGGGGAAAATGTCAACACACTTTTGTCATGAAACAAAACTGATAATGCTGAAAAGAGAAGCAGAGAGAAGTAGAGAGAGAAATGTGCAGCTGTGTTTATGACCTTCAGGACTGTCCCTTCTCAGGACTGCTGTGGTAGTTGTGGAAGGGAAAGCAGAACTTTCACAGAACAGTTGAGTACCGTGGTCACTTGTGGAGAACTGATTGATAGACCCAGAACATTCTACTCAACAACAACAGATTGTTTTTTCTTGGTGTAATTTTTCTTTTCATTCTTCAAAAAAAGTTGCTGATGGTAATACTGTCTAGAGATAAAATCCCAAGGAACCCATGAATATGCTGTGAGAACTAATTAGTGAGTTTAGTTGAAGGATAAATGATCAGCATGAAAAAGTCAATCATGTTTCTGTCTACTAACAATGAGCATGTTGAAACTACAATTTTATTTTCAGCAATTCAAAATCAAAATAAGACATACTTATCAAGACATGTACTTATAAGTGCTGAAAATTACCAAATACCCATTAAAGAAATAAGAGAAGACCTAGATTGGTGAGAAGAAGCACTGGGTTCATAAGTTGGAAGATTCAACATAACAAAGATGTTATGCATTCCAAATTGGTCTGGAGGTTTAAGGAAATTCCTCAGTAAAGCTTTATTTTTGGAGAGAAAATAAAACTAGATTTATTTTACATTATCTAAAGAACCAAGGTTACATCATCATTTGTGAGCCCCATATCTGAAGTTACATAGATTTTAAGGACATGAAAGCAAGATAACTGTGTTCAGCATGGCCCCTAAGCATGGTAACATCAGGTCCAGTTAGTTTTAACTAATCTGAAAGTGTAAGGACAGCTAAAACTTATGCTTTGCATTCTTGCCCAAAAATGCTCCAGAGTATGGGCTAAAACTGAGTCCCTAATCTTAATTATTTGGCTTCAATAAAGCTTTCTGGAGATACAAAACAACTTAATCTAGAATCTGTGTGGAAAGAAAAAAATTGAAGTAATTGCTTTAGCAAATAATTAGGCCTAAATAGTTAGGACTAAGAATTTATGTTGTTGTTAGAGGATAGACATATAGAACAGTGGCTTAGACTACGAAATTCAGGGATAGACCCATATAAACATGCTTAACTTATTTCTGTTAATGTACACAAATAATTCAGTAAAGAAAGTAGCTTGAAGTTCCTCAAAAGACTCCACATAGAGCTCCCCTATGACCCAGCAATCTCACTTTTGGGCATTTACCCAAATGTTCACAAACAAGACCACACTAAAGCTACCAGCACAACTATGTTTATTGCAGCATTATTTACTTACTATAGGTAAGATATGGAACCAACCCAGATGCCCCTCAGTAGATGAATGGATCAGGAAAATTTGGTATATATACACAATGGAATTCTATGCCTCCATCAGAAAGAATGACATTACCCTATTTGTTAGGAAATGGAAAGAGTTGGAAAAAATTATATTAAGTGAAGTAAGCCAGGCTCAAAGAAACATAGGTCCCATGGTTTCCCTTATTTGCAATAAATAGTGTATGTCTGAGTCAAGCAGAAAAAGTCAGATAAGTTGATGTTAGGGAAATGAACCCTAAGATATGTATTCAAATGTTTTTTTTTCTTTCATGCGATTGTTTCTAACACATTTATAAGATTATTTCTTTGTTGCTTTATATGTCCCTCCCACACGGTATAACCCCTGCTTTTACTGTATTTGATGTTGGTCCAATTTGTGGAGGGGAAGGGAAAAAAAAATTGTTTAAAAAGGGATACAGGCGGACTCATTGCAACAATGAGATGTACACTCGTTATGTTGAAAACAAACTTTATAACTTTGGGGGAGGGAGGAGGATTGGGTGGGGGGGGGGCGGGGGGAGGATGGGAAGGGATAGGAAGGGGAAACAAAGGAGGAGGCTACAATGCTTGATAAGAAATGTATTCATTATCTTGACCATGTAATTGTAACCCCTCTGTACAGTATTTTCACAATAAAAAAAAGAAAGTAGCTTTTCAACAATGAATCCTAGAGAAATTTGATCATTTGATATCATAGGCAAGAGAGAGAGAGAGAGAGAGAGAGAGAGAGGTATGGAGGGAGGGACCAAGAAAAGAAGGCAAAACATCAAAGAATTCTAATTTCTATCTCACACCTTTCATAAAAATCATTTACAAAGATTGTGCATTTTAAATATTAAACTTAAAATAATAAAACATGTAGTGAAAAGTGCAGAAAAATTTTAGGTATTTTGACCACGCAAAGTGTTCTTACACCTGACACCAAAAGCACAAATAATAAAAGGAACATTTGGATTCCAGCAAAATTAGAGAAACTTTTGCTCTATGAAAACCCATGTATAGAGCATGAAAAGACAAATCACAAACTTGGAGAGAATATTTGCAAACCACATATTTGACAGAGCTCTAGCATCTAGAAAATATAATGAACATCTAGAATTCA